AACAATTTGCGTAGTTCCATGGTATCACTTTTTGAAAACATAATATTTGGTATTTTTCTTAAAAGGCATTAGAGTTATACGAACGACAAAGAAGTTGAGATAACAAATCAGATTAATAAACCGCCGTCTGACAGTAAAAGCCCTAGTAGTGTCTAAAGGCCCTATTAAATTTCGACTGTGTTTATTGCGTAAAATGGTAAATTTTAGCGTTCTGGATTTCAAATTTAAAAATATATTAATCATTGAATAAACAGTGCAGAATAACTATTGGCATAGTTCGTAGCGGCTTCACTTTTTGTAAATTATGCTTAACTTTTAATTAAACCCAAAATTGCAGACAAGATTTTCATAAAATGCGTGTTGGCACTTTTTTGAGCTACTGGTGAAACAAATAATAGAATTTTATCTCTTATAATAATCGTATAACTTTAAGTTAACTGTAAATTTCTCTTATCTACGATAATATTTGTACAAAACTTGTGTCAGAATAATTATTACTTCAATAAAATAAAGATTTCATAATTTTCAACCCCAAATTTATTATCATATTGTCGACAATTTGTTTGTATTTGTTATAGTGCTATTATGCGTAACACCTGTTTAATTGATTAACAGTGACTTAGTAAATATAAACAATTATTTTAATGTTATTTGGAAAATAAACTATTACCTTACATTGTTCACATGAATGAGCAAAATCATATAAAAATCTTTAATCATAATTTTATTAAAATAGGGAGTTTTCAAATACAGCGTAAATACAGTGTAATAGTAGAAAGATCCATATTTTTAACCGACTTCAAAAAAAGGAGGAGGTTCTCAATTCGACAGTATTTTTTTTGTGTTTGTTACCTCATAACTTTTTAAGTGGGTCTTCGTGCCTGGTAAACGCTTGAGCGTACATACCTTGAATAGAAAAAAATTAGACTATGTAATTATTTTGTTACTTTTTAGTGCATCTTTTTATTTTTGAAGCCGGTTTTTGTTGGTTAAAAAAATTTTTCCTTCCCCACATGAAATCAAAAATTATTCAAAACTTTTTTCTCCTCTTCGTGACAGTGACTCGCACGCCGGTTACAAGGCTTCGTCATCTCTGAGGTATCTGGTTTGATTCCCATTCGGGTTAATGAAGATAACCTTTTCTATACCTTTGTTATTTCGGATTTCCATAACATATGTGCTATATTACTCAATTTTGGGTCCGAGCAATATATTTGTTGTTGCTAATATTCAGTGACCGAAAGACGACCGTATACTGTATAACTGTATGTAGGTACCTATATAAATGAGTTTGAAAGTTGGGCGGACTCTACTTCCCAACAGGTAGCAAATTATAAAATTAAAAACGGTTTTGCATATAATATCAAATGAAAGAACCAAGAGCTTATTTTGCGAATTTCAAAATGTTGTAAATCTATGCTATGATTGCAAATATATTTTTTGAAAAACACGAAGTTGTCTATGACACATCCATTCTCCTTTCGTGGAAATACATATCTTAAAATTTTGGAAAAATATAGAAAATACAAAATGTTGGAAAATACTAGAATAACTCATGACTTATTTAATAAGTCTATGAATTTTGAATAAATCTATGCTTGTAACTATATAAGGAAAAGTAACAAGTAAAAAGTACTCACCTGAGGTACACGTGGGGGAGATGCTTTATTTTTTTTGTCTCAGCAAACACTGAGACAAATTCGAGACTAATTCATTGTTGTCTCAGCGAATACTTCAGGCTTAATAATGACTTATTTCACATTACAGATTCATTTAAACAACTTAATTCAAAATAGTGTTGTATATTTACAAAGTAGCCTACGTTCTTACACGGGCGTTTGCTTTTCATCTCCTGTTCATCGAAGCTTGGAAATTTATTTCCTGCTCTCAATGCGATCATCCCATTAAATCTAAATTGGACATTGAAATTTTATATGAAAGTAGGAGGTTTTGATATTTTGGTAACATAATATGAGAACTGAAAAAATATTTTCTATATTATTACTATGTATTCATTCACTAATAGAAATACTTGTAACGTATTTTTTATTAATATGATATGCGCTAGAAATATATATATATATATATAAAATTTTGTTTATTTGGGTAAACAAATAGTTTTAACAATAGCGTTATAATTAACCATATGATGTGCACAGTTTTATAATAGCAAAACCAGCACCGATAACCACAAGTTACTACGGGTAGTTGAAAGTTGCATATGCTGTCAGCTTAAATACTTACTAACAAAAAAGAACACTACACAAACAAGACTGTTGCAGATTTATATCATGGCAATTACGATGATATGGCATTGCGATTTAGTTCACTTATTCTTTCTTTAACTAACCTTTTGAATTTTGTTTTATTTAAATTATATATATATCGATGTCATGGATACAATCATTATAAAATTTTGCTACTTTGGAGATCTCTTGCCTACATTTGTGCGATATTTGGATATAGAAAACAACTCGCTTAGGTTTACCTTGGTACTAAATATTTATTTTATTTACTAATTTAGCACAATCATACTCGCTGTGACATATATTACATAAGATAACGGCTTCCAAGTATTGCCGTATAGATTTTAAATCTCTCAATTGGTACCGCTCTAATAAATTTTCACATGACGCACGAGCATATCTGCACCAATAATACCTACATGGTTTTCATAAACTTTCTCTGCACCCTCTCGAGATCAAACATATATATATTGTAATATGAATTCCAAATACTCCGTATTCTAGCTGAGATCTTACTAATGATTTGAAAAAGTATACAAAAATTAGATGCTTTTTTAAATTGATAGCAAGATTGCATAAGGAATCCATACACATCGAATGCTTTAGTTATAAAAGTATCAATCTGTTTGTCAAGATTTAGTAATATCGATCGTCAAAATTAAAAAGTCCTAAATGAGCTGAATATGGGTGTGATGGAAACCGCTATTCAACTCATTTTGGGTTTGACGATCAACTGACGTTTGACGGGAGTATATAGACTTTACTAACTTTATACCTACTGTGAAAGCCAAACTGGCTTAAATAAGCCAAACTGGCTTTGACAGTGGTAAAGTCTATATACTTGTTGGAGTTGGAGTCTTTTCATAGGGGAAACGAAAAAATGGAATATGATTCAAAGTATTATGTGAGCGTTGAAAATACACGATACATATCTCCATCGATACACTTATGTAGCCACCGAAGTCGTAAAGTCGACCGCAGTAATAAGTTTTCTATTGCCTTTTATGTAGGCGATGTTACTGAACATAACTGAAACATTATTAATGTTCGTAAACTGTGAAAGCACTAAACTTTTCTCTAACAAAAAGATAAAGTGGATTAAGTTATAAACTATATATAACTTTTTAAGAGTTTCTGTAAAAAGTTTATAATAGCAAAATTTGTGGTATTTACATTTTCCTCTATAATAATACTTTATTGTAACATTATTTTTAAGCAGTACATGAACTTGACAAATTAAACATAAGACGGTATTGGCGAGAGAAAAAGAGGGTGTAGTCTAAGACCCGGTTTCTGAATCGAGAATTTAAAGTTAAGAACGTCTTGAATTGTATCGACTTCTAGTTTTAGTTTTTTAATGATCAATTGATAGCTGTTTGATAAAAACGCAAAAAAAAACTTAAGTTATTGAAAATAATGTTATTGAGATTTTGTACTTTTCTCAATTCAGGAATCGGCTATAAGAGAACCTAATACCAAGATAAATAATTGACATGTAATGAAATACATTATAAATTACATAAATATAGATAATATTTATATAAATACAGATAAAATGAATGCATACATGTATATGACACATATCAATAATATACTTTAATATAACGAGGAATGGGCCGTAGCAAATTAGTATTATACAGGCATATACTCGTAGAGATAGAATCTCAAAGTACCAGGAACAAAGTGGATTTTTTAAGCATTATTCATCAAGATTATTTATCGTTTGGTATATATAGCACTGTGAATGCCAAATTGATCAAATATGATATTTATTTTATTTCACTTGTTTGGATATTTCACAACAGGGGAGTTTAAAAAGGGCCGTCTTGAATTTTAAGAAAATCTTCATTACAATTTTGGGTTTAGTTAAATATTAAGCGTAATTACTAAAATCACACCGCTACGAATAGTTATTCTGCACTACTCAATAATTCAAAATTGTTAGTATATTTTTAATTTTAACATCAAGAACGCCAAAAAATTCAATTTTCCGTAAAATAGTCTTTTTCATAGTCGAAATTTAATAAGACCAGTAAAAAACGTTGTGATTTTGATTACGCTATTAATGAATAACTGAGGTCAGCACAGAACTTGAGGTTACAAAAAGCCAAACCACGAAACTGGATTATCTTTTTAAATATTTTGCAGCTTAGTAATTAAAGGGCCACAAATCAAATTTGGTAAAAATCACTTCACAAAACTATATTAATTTTCTTATTTTCATATGTATAATAGAAAGTGACTTTTATAGTCTAATGAATTTACTTTTCGATAATACTTCTCTGTATGAAATAAAACAGGAAGAAAAAACCGCTTTTGCCGAGTTTCTTGCCGGTTCTTCTCAGTACAAGTGCTTGTATTAATCCAAACTGAATAAATTATATTAAATTTTAATTTTGAGCGGTGGCACTTTAGTAGGTAGCGATTTGATCGCGGTCTGATAAAATGAATGATAATTACCTATAGGAAATTAAAAAAGACTGTTCGATACGTCAATATTACTTTTAGTCAATTTAGTCCAACTTATAATTATCTGGAACAAATGTTAAACTTTTACGTCATATGTTTTCTATAGTGTTCTAAATTAAAAAGGGCTTTATCAAGATTTTTTTTAAGATTTCCTTTTAATTCCCTAATGTGTTTGGTATAATAATTTGAACATCTAATCCCTCTACTGATAAGCGTATCAGAAACATTTGAAAGCTGGGGTTAGAAAAAAGCCAATTAAGACCCTCCGTGTCGACGCCAATCTCCAGTCTTGAAACAACCGTCAACGCGCCCGCACGCCTCGGGTTCACATATCGCGTTCACCACTCGCAATTATAAGAACAATGAACAAACGTCACTAGGAGAATAGTTTTTTCTTGCAGTTTCTCATTGTTTGTAATATAAACATTATATATGAAAACTTAACAGGATACGAAACAAAGCCGGTGAGTTTGTTTGTTTTCTCTTATTGAAGTTTTAATTTTTGTTTTATTTCGCATTTCGCTCTCGGCTTTTTCTAGCCGTGTTTACGTATATACAATATATAATCCCACATCTGGCTTTCCGCAAAGCGAATTGCGGATTTCGTTGTTTATCCTGTATTTTAACGAGTTCTTTTTATGCGAGTCTGGATTACGTTACGTTTTGTACTTGTAGGATTATTTATATGTTTGTATTTAGGTATAAGATGGAAAGTTTTTTAATTTACTTCAATAGGGCATTGGTTATTTTTACACATCTGTATATTACATATATTAATGCCAAATCCTTTACGGGGTAGGCAGATTGTATCTCGGATCTAAGTTTGGTTTTTAATTATAATAATGAAAGCAAAAATTATATCTTGAACTTATAATATGTATCACTTGCTGATAATAAAGCTTCATTTTGAAAAAGATATACATAAATATGAAACAATGTCACATTTTTTGTACATTGTTCAGATTCCGAATTATGCGGATAAAGAAATCATTCGTATTATGGAAATCTTAAACAACGAAGTGCCACAACAACCAGACCCGACTTAGATATGAAGTGCGTCGAAAATTATTTTTTTAATAATAATTAATATTAGTAGTTATTGATAAATGTTCCCGATATAGGTATATGATCAAAATGTGGGTTCTACGTTAATAGATTTAAACACTTGCAGTAAGGAAATTCTTCTAATGTTAGCTTTTGTGGAAATTCAATAGCGCTTCAACTACATTTTTTTATGACACAGTTCTTGTTACTAGATCACAAAATAATTGATATATTTCTTACCATTTATTTGTGAGGAAGACATTGCACTAATATTGGACTTCAAGTAGATAAGTAGTACAATAGCAAATTGCAAGCAGATGAGATTTTAGGAAGATGCGATTACAACGTAAAATTACCAGAACTTATGCCTTACAAACGAGAAGGTCAACATTAAAAAACTATTATAAAGCTAAAGTATTTATTATTTATATTAGACGTTACTCGCGGCTTCATGCACGTGGTCAACGGGAAATATCTTAAAGCTCTTCTTCCGCGGTAAAGAGTAGTCAATGTAGTTTTCGTTTCCAGCCTTACATCTATTTACCTACCATAATCATATTATACCAAAGCTTAGCTGTAATTAGAAAGAAAGATCATCAACAAACATGCATTACTATTATATTACGACGTAGGATATGAATTATTGTTAAAAAAAGATGTCCACATTTCGAGAACGCAGTTTCGTTACTTAACTTTACATAAGGATGATGTTTTTCTTGCTGTTTTAAATATAAAAAATGTTTTCTTAACATTGTACCGGCACTGTTTGCCCGAATTGGAATAAAAACACGAACCGAAAGCTTCATACATTTTAATTAATTCCATTTAACATTTATTTGTTTATTTTCTCTAAATAGTTCTTAATTTCCTTTGATCATAAATATATATATATATATATATATATGCGGATAAAGAAATATATATATATCTATACTTATATAAAGAGGAAAGACTTGATTGTTTGTATAGAATAGGTTTCGAAATTACGGGACTGATAAAAAAACACCTACGGAAAGCTATATCTATAATTTACGTGGGCTAAGTCGCGGGAAAACAGCTAGTTTATTATATTTTTAGGATTTCGTATTTAAAAGGACTACTAAATACTTGTTTTTATTTTTGATAAATCGAAAAAAAGAAGAATATTATGAGTTTAGAATTGTTTCTCATTGTTTTTTTTGGTTGAAAAATTGTTTTAAAATCAAAGATTTTTTGTAAGTATTCAAACAGTACAGTACTAACAGTTAATAACAAATAAAGAGTTCCACAAGTTCAATTGTAACAATAATACCATTTATTTCAGTCATACAAAGATATCCCCAATTTTAGCCCAATAATAAGCATTATTGTAAAACAGTCTATCCATCAAGTTTCGTTTTCAACCGTAAGTTTTTGGAGCATTGTGCTTTTAAAACTACAATATTATCAGCCCATAGAATATGACGCCCTGTGAATGATTCAATCCTGATTAGGGCTGCTACACAATTTCTATTAGATTGAATAATTGAATATTGAATTATATAGAAAAGTAAAAAGTGTGTGCAGTAAATTGATTAATGTGCATGTTACTGGCAAACGGCATAATTCAGGTGTTGTATTGATAAACAACACCTGAATTATGAATTATGCGGAACGCCTCAGGCATTCTTCACATGCCTCAGGTATGATTACCTGGAGCATGTGAAGAATGCCTGAGGAGTTCCGGGAATGTATGAAATATTATCGATATTATGATCCATTAGATATTTTCCCTGAGTAATATATACAATTCCTATTTATTGTATAGAGTATTTGCTGTTCCACCGGCTATTTGTGTGTCACAGCCAAGTGATATAATCAGCCGACCAATTGGGCGGCTAGTTCTTTAATTGAATGGCTGAACGCAACGTTCTTAAATATGGCTGAACAAAGTTCTGCCAACTAATTAACTATCAAGTTAACGGGAACACCGATATCTGTGGTAGGGTAAGATATAAATGCAGATCGTAACAAGGAGTTTTTAAGTTTTTTTATAAAATCACCCATTATAATATATATATATGGGTGATCTGCAATTGACACAGCAACAGGACTGATCAAAAAGATAATAACAAACTACTTATTCGTGACTGGACGTTAATGGTCTGTATGATCCTGATACGGGAAACTAACGTAAACACCCATAACGCAATTGGGTTCAGCTTATACTTTCATAATAAATTCGTAATACTATTACAGTTATACTAAGACAATATACCTATACCGCGATCCAGACGTCCTCAATGTCATCTAACGAAAGCAAGCAGTGTATTTGAATGCGATTGTTTTAGTATGATTATTACGACATAAAATGATAAACAACGAAGTTATTTTGGTTATAATTTTTTTTTAACAGATAACTAAATTAAATAATCGTTTTGGCTGCTTTAAAATCAGCCGTCTTGTTGAATGGTCCAAATGTCATTACGATTCAATAAGAGAACTAGGCGTGCAAACGAATGTCGAAATTCAATTAAATGGCTGTTTTAACCAGCTGGCTGCGCCATTTATATCAATGTTCTCGGCCTCGATCTACCTTATTATATTATTCTAGTAGGTCATGTGATAGGTGATTTATATATATATATATAAATTTCAAAGTTAATTTTTAGACCACTGAAATCATGTTGCCGATAACTTTATCGATTGTATAAATCGTTATGGACTGTTATTGTATAAATAAAAATGTAATTTCAACATTTTTTATTTATACAATTACAGTACGTTCATTGCCAGCCTTCCCGCATGTTCCACTCTTCTATACTTTCGTCTTTAATATACATTACCGGCTGCGCATTCGGTACTGTATAAAGTAACTAAGAAAAATATAAAATAAATAATATTGCATATATTACCGTTTTAAAAATTTTAAAATACCGTTAAAAATACCGTTAAAAATACCGTTCTTTAACGTTTTAAAAATTGTATACATTACCTATATATTGTATATAATACCGGATTATACACATTACCGGTAATACAACTAATTACTAAAATTTAACCAAAATATTTTCAACCACTGTTATGATGTGCAACTTTGGCTTACCAAGTAAAGCTGTTGTTATAACTTCTAATAGGATAAGAGTATAATCAGTCAGTTAATTGTGTTATACATTATAGTTTTTTGTTTATTTTTGTTGCCTGTTCTTTAAAAGTAAAAAAAAATATTATAAGAGCGATGACTATAGGATAGCGTAGACGTATGCTACAACCGTTTGTTTTTTTTATGATTAGTGGCAAAGTAAATATTTTGATTCAAAAGTTTTTAGAGCGTAATTTATCTATAGTCGATTTTTTGAACTTAATTTATTATTTGATTAATTTTTGGGTGTATTTAAGCAAAATCGCAAGCAAATCTATCAATACTGATACCCAACACGGCATGATTGGATAATATCTTTTTTAGTTTCTTACTTTATGCTCTTTAGAGGGCGCTGTTAGCAATTTAATGTTGCCTCTCATCACACGGACAACTAAGACGCTTCTAATGATATATCATTTGTCCAGTAGTTTAGAAGTTATTAGGAAACAGATGAACATTTTTACATCGGCCAAAACCATAACCCTCCCTTTCGCTTTACCGTAGTTGAGTAATTAAAAGCTAACTCATTCGGTGAAGTGAGTTGTGACGTCAATTTGAATGTGAAAGTTTATTCGCCATTTATTGAAAACCAATACTGCACAAAGTAGATTTTTTACGTTTTTTATTAAGAATAATTTTCCAGTATAGCATTATGGATGCTAAATTTATCAAATATATTAAATCGTGATATTCATTGTGCTCTGTCTACGGTATTAAAAAACAAATACCTATACGAATAAGCATTTCTTTCACGATATATGAAATATATAAATAATTTGGATTTTAATAACAAAGTCTGTTATTATATTTGATATTTTTTGTATTCGCAATAATATGTCGATATTGATTTTTCTTAAAAATAAATTGATTAAAGGAGTCGCTCCGATTGTGAAAGCTTTAAATTCGAATCTGATCTCGGGTATCCGAAATTGACAATTAAACGACGATTACGACCTATACCAAAAAAAAAATAGTTTTGGTCTATAAAAAATCACATCTTGCTAGAGTAGCAACCCTAATCCTAATACGACCGGTGCGACCGTTATTATTGTGTTCTAGTCGCGTTGTCTCAAACCCTTTGTGAGCAACACGTTTTAGAAGGGTGGGCACAAAAGACCCCACGTAGGATAGAGATGTGGGGACGAACTATCACCCCTAAATAACGTTAGAACAGATTTATTAGCTACGTTTATTGCCTATCTTATCTGGTTCTCTCCCAAATAAGATTTTCGTTTAATAAACCTTATTGGATTCATGGTATTAAATGGAGAGTTTATATAAAATAAATAGTTTTGCGTTTAAAATAGTAAAATGTAAAAA